GTGTGTGTGAGAGAGAGAGATAGAGAGAGAGAGAGATACAGAGAGACAGAGAGACAGAGAGAGAGACAGAGGCAGAGACAGAGACAGAATGCACGTGGGTGTCCTCCATTTTGATTTCGTTCAGATGGAGTCTGCATTGGATTAAGTCAAGTTAAGCTGACTGGCTGTCAACCCCAGAGATCTGCTTGTCTCTGTCTCCCCAGGCTAGCATGCCTGTTTTTGTTTGTTTTGCGTGTGTATACTGTGCATGTGTGTACCCATACTCACATGTGTAGGGGTGAGCATGTGGGTGCAAGTGCACCCATATGGAAGTCAGGCATTGATATTGGGTATCCTCCCTTGAACCCAGAACTCAACAATTTGGCGAGTTTAAGTAGGCAGCTTTCTACAAGGATTCCTTGACTTTGTCTCCTGTGTCCTAGGGTTACAGGTAGATCTCCAAACAGCATTTATGGGATGCAAACGATGGTCCTCAGGCACACATGGAAAGCACTTGATCTCTCTCCTCAGCCCACACAATGCCTTTCTGTGTCAGCTCTGATGCTCAAACTTGGGTCTTCATGCCTGTGCAGCAAACACTACCAACTGAGCCACCTCCTAACCCCTGTTAAGCATAGTTAATCTGCCCTGAATTCTCCTAGAAAATCTATCTACTTGGAAGATTTTCTTGTTTGAGGAAGAGATACCTTTAACTTTGGCCATATTACAGTTCAAGATCTAGCTTCCCTCCACCCTCCTGGTCTCCTTCATTCTGTACAAAGTGATAGGGTTATTTGTGTCTATGGCTCTGGTGCTGATCTTCCAAACAGTATGATATCTGTCTCATAAGTAGCATAATCATAACCTCACCGCCCCCGAATGATCCATTTATTATAGGTGAGGCAACTGAGAAAAAGGGAATAAAAGAAATGCCTCCAGACAGCTGTAAAGCAGTGAAGGTTGGGACACAGCTTGCTCTTTCTGCTTCTTAGCAAATGAGGTTTCTACTACACAATTTATCTAAAGCTATTCCCTTTAGTTCTTACAGCTTCTCTCCTGAAATTCTATTGCTAAACAAATTAGGTTTTGAAATGTAGTCTTAGTAATAAGTATGAGGTTCAATCTCAACATTGTATAACACAGCAGGCACTATCCTAGTCAAAACTATTCTTTGAGCCTATTGACTCTTATAGCAACAGTTTTAGAGTAGAAACAGATCCCCACAAAGTTGGCTCAACATTCTTAATTTTAAGATGAGATAATGTGGGTAAGATCTAAAGAGGTTATGTCACCTGCTCAGTGTCATGAGGTTTGTAGTTAAGAAGAATAAATAACAAATAGTAAATAAAAAACGTAAACTGTAGTATTCACACTCAAGATGTGGAGACAGGAGCCAAAGACATGCCATGTAATGTAGAGCATGAGAAATTCACAAGAAGTCAAAATCAGACATTTGGCTTTAAGCAAAGTAACTTTGGAGATACTAACAGAATGGTGGAAATAAAGATTAGGCAGTTGGACACAGTATCCTGAAGTTTGATGGATAGATATAGCAGGGTCACCACTATAACAAGCAAGGAATGATAGAGCATCTTGCAGTAAACAGGCTAGCAGACAGGAACGGCTTAGCTTGACCTATAGTCTGTACATGTCAACTCTTATTACTATAGTTGTGTGAAGACAGGCTAAATTAATATTTGGTGAGTATCTACAGACAAATGATGTGATATACTGGGACAATCCTAGATTTTAAACTAGAACATGATTATCTTTCATGGAAGAGAATATTACTTTATGTAAATATCTACTACATTTGTTTATGCCCCATTTGTTTAACTATGTAAAGATGTGTTTCTGTTTTACCTTGCCTGCCAAAAAAAAACTGGTCTAATAAAAAGCTGAATGACCAACAGCTAAGCAGTAAAAGGATAGTTGGGGCTGGTTGGCAGAAAGAATAAAAAGGAGGAGGAATCTAGGTTCAGAGGAGAGCATGAGGGGGGAGAGAACTAGGGAGAAAGGGAGACACCCATGGCTGGTCAGTCAGGCAGCTGCCAGACAGCCAGACAGAGGAAGCAGGAACATAGATCATACAGAATGAAAGAAAGGTAAAAAGCCCAAAGCAAAATATAGAGAAAGAGAACCAGGTTAAATTAAGTTATAAGAGCTACTGGAACGAGCATAAAATAAGGCAAGCATTCATAACTAATAATATGTCTCTGTGTGATGCTTTTGGACATTCTGAGAAGGCCTGCTACTGAATACAGCTTCAATTGATGTGAGTCAGGAGTCACATGTGCAGGCAGCCTTCTGCTTCCTGCACACTGAAGGACTGACTCAGCTATAGTTATCAGTTCTTAAAGAATTATTCATTCAGTTTTCAAAATGTGCATGAATGTTTTGCTACATGTGTATATATGTACCACCATGCCCTTCAAATTCAAAAGAGGGTGTTGGGGTCCCTGGTGCTGAAGTTAGAGGTGGTTGTGAAGTATCTTTGTGGGTTCTGGTAATCAAACCCTGATCATCTATCTACAAGAGCAACACGTGTTCTTAACCTCTGTTCATCTCCAGTCCCTACAGTCACATTTTTTACTCTCATACTCCTTTCACTGGCTCACATTCCATGACTGGTTTATGAAAGAATATAAATGCTGGAGTGTTAGCTTTGTCAACTTGACGCATGCTTGAGTCATCTGAAAACAAGGCCTCAAATATGGAGTTGCCTAGATCAGACTGACCTGTGAGTGCGTGTCTACAGGATTGTCTTGGTTGTTAACTGATGTAGGCTAGCCCACTCACTGTAGGCAGCAGCATTCCCTAGGCACATGATCCTAGGCTCTATAAGGAGAACAGCCAACATGAGCATGAGTCACCAAGCTTTGTTCCTCAGTGGTTTCTGTTTCAAGTTCCACCTCGAGTTCTTGCCCTAACTTCTCACATTGATGAAAATTTAAGTCAAATAAACCTTTTCCTCTCCTAAATTTCTTTTGGACAGAGGGTTTTATCACCATATCAGAAATCAAACCAGAGAAAGTATCTAGACTTAGTTCAGTGTGATGCTGTAGAGGACACTGTAGAATTTATCCTGGTGGAGGTTCCTATCATTAGGACTTCACGCAGCCCAGCTTTTCCTTGTGCTCAGTACTGCTACCCTTCTTCTCTTCACAGATGTTGGTGTCAAAGGCAGTCTTTAATAAACAGTGCATGGACTAAAATATATCCTGGTACCAGCTCTCTAGAGTATCCAACTCACAGCAGTCCACGTTATTTTCCAGCTACATTATTTACCAGATATTTGTGGTTGGTTCAAAATCTATTAGCCAAGTTTTTGATACTATTGCTAAAAGGCAGATTCTCCTTCTCACCCTGTAAAACTGGCTTATGGCTGCTTCAGTGAACAAAGGAACATAGTAGGAAAGGCTTTAGTGTGATGTATGACCTTGAGACTAGGAAGTAAAAGACTTATATCTTCTGTTATTTGCTCTTGGAACATCCACTCCGAAATCATTTTGCTACCATATGAGAAATTTAACATCCATGTAGCTGCCATGGAGGCATAGCAAGTAATGAGACTAAAGAACTCTAACTGTTCTTAGCTTCCAGAGACTTGTTCTCTCCTTGAGCAGCCAATAAATGTGTAAATGAAGCCCTTGGGGTAAAGTCAGTTCCAGTCAATGTGAGGTTGCAATTGCATGAGAGTCATAAAGAATAGCAAAGAAATTACACCAACTGGACATCATATGCTACCAAATAAAACCACAGTGACAGAAATGGGTTACATCTTTTTGATGACCAAAGAGGTCCTATAGATTGCCCCCCAAATCTTGCAGGCTGTTGTCAATGACACTGATTACTTTCTTCATCCTGAAAGTCAAGTCACAACTGAGGAGAAAAGTAATCATCAATTCCACTCAGCTGTGGACACTTTGAGTCACAGCAGCAACTTGCCCACTAGTGCAGCAGTGGTACAAATGTTACACAAGTATCCAACCACCTACTAAGCTTGGATTTAAGGCCTGCTCCTTGAGATGTAATCCATATGTGACACTGTTAATGAGGCCAAGAACCTAAGTCTAGAAAGGCCATGGGTCCTAGGGCTCTTTCCTCTACGTAGGTTCTTTCCCCTACTTCTGCTAAATGAACATAACAATAAAGTGACTCCCAATGATCAAAAAATCATGGCATTGTTGAACCATCTGCAGAGAAGATTTTTCTTGCAGTAGATAGTAATTAACACAGAAACCTACAATTGAATAATGTGCAGAGAGTGACAGACTTTGGAGCATTCAGGACTAAGTGGAATGTCTTCATCAAACTCTTCCCTTTAAGGCTCAGGAAGTAGGCAGAAGAGGAGGTGAAAAGATTGTAAGAGCCAGAGGTGGTAGAAAACTCCAGGGAAGCAGCAATTTTCAGATAAAACAGAGCTGAGGCATATATGAACTGTGACAGCATTCACAAGACCTTCACAAGTTCAAGCCAGACAAAATCCCAGCATGAAGAAAAGGAAGCTGAGACAAAGTCCCAACCCTAGCCAAGAAGCTATTTGAAACTGATAGCTACCAAGGGAGAGAAAATCTGTTTTCTCTAATGGAATGACACTGGGTATATCAATCATACCTCAGGGTAGGCTTCATGCTTAAGAGTAGCTAGCTCAGACTGGCTTTCATTTTGGCTTGTGTGTGTGTGTGTGTGTGTGTGTGTGTGTGTGTGTGTGTTTGAGTGTGCACTTTCTTTGTTTTATTTTATTGTAGGATTTTGGCATGTTTTGTTTGTTATTTTTTTTCCTTGTTTGTTTTTTAAGAGAGAGGAAAATATTAAGTAGAAGCAGGAGGATCTGGAAGGAGTTGGGGAGGACAAAGTATAATCAAAATATATTGTTCAAAAAATATTGATTGAACCAAGGCAAATCTCCAGTGAGCAAAATAAATGAATTATTGTGTTAAGCAATTGTTTTAGGGTAGGCTGTTTACAGTTACAAAATAACTGCAACAATAATTTAATGACATTAATCTCTCATTCTCAATTTATTGATCTATTACATGATAATATTTTCTAAGTCCCCTTAACTAGTCTTACATCCAGCCATATTGAAGAAATAACATTAATAGTATGTGTAAACTTGTTTTACAAGCTGTAAGAGGCATTAAAAGAACAATTTATTATAATTATCACCATAAATCCTCATTAGCTAGGAGCTGATTGTACAGAATACCAAAAAAGCAAGTTGCTAACCTCAAGGAGAATGAATGATATTAGCTCTCAGTTTACAATTATTTTCCTAACCACAAAAATTTAAATAGAAATTTCTTGAATGGAAAATTAAAAGTGGACTTAAAAACAACAATGCAATATTTGTCTTTCTTAATCTACTCCTTTTATGACTCAGATTAAGGGGCATTTTTAAGTATATCTGTGAGACGTATAACATTATGCTTCTAGCTATTCCCTTGTTGCTGTGATTGAACACTGCTCATCACCATCCACTTTTTATTCCCTGCCCTATGTATTTTGAATACCCATATCTCCAAATAGATATAAATGTCTTCAAACAGCCGGTGTATGGATTCTTCAAAGTCATGTCCTGAAAGTATGGTATTTTGTAAATAGAACGTATGTAAAACATATTTATAAAACAAATTCACAATACAAATATGATTCAAATTATATGGAAGGATCAATGGTTACTTATTACTAATCTCTTGTTTATTTAACTGATAATTCAACTACCTGCTTACCCTAATCTGTCCTCAATTCTTTAGTGCTTAAAATTTTCTGTTTTCCAACACTCTGCCAAATACTCCAGCCCTAGGTCAGGCACATACAGGACTTGGATGTCTGAGCTCCTTGTGATGAATAGTTACAATGAATTAGAAGTTGAGGAATGTGTGTCCCATTGGTTGGAGCATTTAATTTCCGGTTCAGAAGCCTCCCAGAGTTCTCGTTCTCTGTGACAGACTCACAGGATCCTCGGTGGTTAACCCATTAGCCTAGCTTCTTTAGTGTTTAACCCTTCTCCCACTTATGACCTGAAACAGAAATGTAGCATCAATAGAAAACAAATTATCTTTTTAAGCCTTGATATTTAGTCACCTGCCCTCCCCTGCAGCACTTCCTGAAATAGTCTTGCAGATACACTTAGTGACCACATTGATTGATGAGTTTGGCAAAGCTTGATAGAAGACAAATCACAGCTCAGGTACAATTTCTCTCCATTACAATTCTTTATCAGTGGAATCTAAATTGCTTTAGCAATTCAGCACAGAAGTTGGGATGCCAAATTGTTACCATAGAGACCATATAACGCTTCTAATGACTGAATCATATGCACTCTTTAGGCTTTCCAAACTCTACATTAAATTATGTTAAAATTGTGTCCCAAATTACATATGGAGTTGTCTTTGATAATTTCCCCAGGGTAAACATTTGATGAGAAAATTTTATTCAGAAAGTTTGTTAGGGAGAGCCATCCAAAACACTTGTACCCAAGTGAAGAAGACATAATTGGCCAGGAGGAGATTTTTGAACTGTGGTGCAGTCAGAGCAAAGGTCTCACTTGATGGCTATAGGGGCTGTTCAGAGAATTCTTGAGTATTGTAGTGGATGAAGCAGGGCTTTTACATGCCTACATCAAACAGTCTCGGGTACTGATCATCACGGAGGAGGAGGTGAAACTCCCAGTTGGACAGCATCTCTCAGTGAAGGCAGGGTCTGGGGAGGGACTCAGTAGCCAGGTGTCAGTAGTTAATACATGTCCACCTTGAAGGAACCTGGCTCAACAGGGTTTCCACATGCTATATCACAGTCTTTATTATATGAGTAATATAAATTTCTTTTTGCATTTTATCATTTTAAGATGTGTGTGCACATGTATGTGTGGACACATGTGCACAATGTGCACACATGAGGGTGACAAAAATTAACATTGAGTAGTGTTCTCTATTGCTCTATGCTTTATATTCTGAGAAAAGGTCTCTCATTCAACTTAGGCCTTGCTGTTTCTACTAGATTGGCTTGCCACCAAGCCCCTGGGATTCACTTGACTCCATCCCTGGCACCAAAGTTACAGGCACATGCCAGTAAACCCAACTTTTGGCACGGGTGCTGGAGATCCTAACTCAGGTGCTCATGCTTGCACAGCAGACATTTGTCATCTCCCCAACCCCATACATTTCTAATAATATGATGGGCAACTCAATACCTCATCGTTTCCTATTAAAACTATTACTTCTGTTTTTGTCTACCACGGTATATAAGTTTGACTGCTAATTCTGTCTCCAACTAGAAAAAGTCTATCTCTCAAAAACATATAGCTGTACTGTCACCTGGGATAATCAATCTGTGGATATGCTTGTGCTTTACACTAACCCCATTCTAGAAGTTTGCTTTGTATGAGGAAAAGGCTCTGTAAGTGGATGGTGGTAGAGCTGACTGCTCCTCGGTTATGAGAGAAAAAAAAAAACAAACAAACTGGAAGACAGACTGGAGCAGGGTAATATCTTAAGGGATGAATGAGAACATTCTAGGTCTTAGGTGTTTTCTGGGGTCTTCCACAGATAACACTAATCCTGAGTATCCCAGATTATGTTGTCACCAGATGCAAACAGTGTTTTGTACACTATATTTCTCTCTCCTTTCATCCTTTTCTACAAACATTCCCCACTGTTAGCCACCAAGATTTAGCAAGGGCTTGTTTAGTCTTATTATTTACTTCAGTGTTTGAAACAGAACAGATCATTTCAATTCCTTCTCAGACTTTTGGTCTGCCATCATTGACTTAGTCTCTAGCCATGGCTGCAGCGTGGTCATGACATCAATTGTTAAGAATCTTTACCGAGGAAAGGGGGCAACAACGGGGCAGGAAGTCTGGCCTGCTATGTCTCCTTTTCCTATTCCAAACCCTTCTTATAGAATCAACCTTGGGTTATTTAAGTTTAATTTTCTAGGAAAGCAATTTCTTTACACTTACAATTAAAATTATTTGTATACAAGTTTTACTGCCTCATTAGAACTGAAGTAACTTGAGATAAAAAGTAAATGTGGGGAAATCACCAGAAGTCTTAATTTCCCCATTTGTGGAAATGAGGGTCTATAATTCTTCAAAGGCCCTTCCATCTGCAGAACTCGCTCATTCTGCGTGCATCAGCCTGAAATGATAGGATGTCAGGGTTCTAGGAAGGCTGAGAATACCTTATCTGTGGTTTCCACATTAGTTTGCTGGCGGAGAGACTGCCTACATCATTTTTGCTGCTGTCAGGAGGAATAACTGCTCTGAAAAAAAGACAGTAAAACAAGGCAACTTCACAAGAGCTGTCATTAGAAACTCAGGGGCAATTTGACTTAAAGCAGCTTGAAATTTCAAAGGAAAAGCAGCAACAGCAATCTGTTTTCTCATTTGCTTCCTGCTTCCTTTTTAAACACTCAGGCTGTCTCCCCAAAGATCTCCCTCTAAACAGCAAACACATTGCACAGCTTGACCTGTAATTTAAATCACAATTAAGCTTCCAGCTAGAATGTATCTTCATCATAAATCTGCTATGGATCCCCCAGTGTTCTGTTTAATTCCCTTATCCTCTTAAACAGCATGACCCTGGTTTTATTTTCCCTCGACATAAAATGCTGAATGATAGCTTATTTATGAGTTTCATGAATAAGACTAATTTCATTGCCATTTGCAGAGAAATTCTCACCAGGTTATTATACGCTTAGATGCCATTAACTCATAAAATACGCAAAATAAAAATTACTCCAAATTAGTCTTCCAAGCAGAATTGCAAACAACATTTCTTTATACAAAAAGATGCCACCAACCAGCACTAATAGGAACATCTCTGCATTTCTCTCTTGCTCAGCGCTGCTACCTATACTACATTTAGTGTGGTTTTTAATAAAGATTTGTAAAGCTGCCTATTAACTTGTTATGGTTTTTATTCTTAATGAACACTGCTTTTACAATAAGAATTCTACAGTGTATACAATGATTCCAATTTTTATGCCCTTGTCTGAAGCCTGGGCACCAACTATAAACACATACTAGATTGGAAATGTCTGCCCAACTGGTGAACTAAAACAGTTGGGGCTTCATTGACTTGAGGGCTTTGGGAGTCACGTGGGAAGAGCAGTGGCTTCAATATCAAAGCTAATAACCACAAGGGTAGCCTAAGATTACTGTAAACATCTGTGCTTTAAATCAATAAGAACTGATATCCACCAGGCTGTAAGATGTATGTGGCAGAAATTGTTAGGTGTCAGATACTTTGTGAGTGAGTAGATGGACTTTTAGTATTGGCAGTGCTTTATGTTCAAAGTTTAGACCACAGACTTCACTCCCTCATCTATAAAACAGACATCAACAAAACAGTGCTTCATGAAACGGTTTAGGGAATGTGACTGGGACTTAGTGAAGCACAAGTCAAGGTTTTAAGCAATCAGATTACTATTAATAATAATTTTAAATAAGGTGAGTCTAACAATAACATTAAGTTTCCCAGAGAGGGACAACAAGAGGAAAATGTTTAAAAGTGCAAATATCATTCTTTATCCTAAAGTGTGGAAATTTTTAACTTTTAGCCTAAAAAAGATTTTGCTTTTATAAAAAATTAACTGAACAGATATTTAAGTTTACACCATGTATAACAACATTCTGGTTGCAAAACACATGCTTTACACATGTAGGCAAATAAGTGAATTACCTTCTTCATACCATATTGCATTGGCTTATACATATACCTAGGTTATACTAAGTCTGTACATTATTACTTATTTTCATTAAAAAAAACTTGGGTTTTCCCCCAAGCAATTGCTCAAGGAAGAGTAGCAGAGGATTCCTTGAAGTGGCAGAAAGAACACAAAGACATGATTTTCATTAACTATTAAAGTGATATAAGAACTAGGCACTGATGCTGATACCTCACCTGAACCACACTGTGTCATACAAATGGCTGGCAACACTTTTTAAGAAAAAAGAAAACTCTCAGACTCCATTAGTGTTTGAAGACCATTAAAGTCCTAAAGGTTTAAAGGGTTAAAGGCAAAAACCAAGTGGGTAGAGCTGAAGTAGAAACATGTTTAAATAAGGCCAGAATGAGAGAGAGAGGAGGTAGTGACCAGCATGATTTCTAAATTTCCACGCACCTTGTTTTTTGATGAAGCTTGGAGATAATCATTGAGAAATGTAAATGTGGGAAGGAAGGAAACCCATCTAAAAAATGTGGACAGGGAATGAGCTGTGGAACAATCTTCTTACAGAGTAAATATATATTGCTCTTGTTGTTAATAAAAAGATGATTGGCTGATAGTTGGGCAGAAAGAGATTGGGCAAACAGCCTGACACAGACAGCATGCTGGGAAGAAGGGCAGAGTCCTAAGAGTCGAAAGCTAAACATGCTTACTTGAGCCTTGGGACAGGACACAGATTAATAGAAATGGGTTAAGTTAAGTTGTAAGAGTTAGTTAGTAACAAGTCTGAGCATTTACAGTTATATTAAGAATGAATTATCATTGAAGAGCAGCTACCAGCACAGAAAAGCACTACCTACAGAAATGGGTGTTCTGTAACTTGGAAAGAATGGCCATCTTTATGTGTATGTTTATATAATTGCTTGCCCACTCAACAAACATTCATCAGTCGTAATTCTAAAAAGAAATGGCTGGATTCTAGATTTCCAAATTCTAACAAGGCAAGACCACTGATGACAATGTATTCACAGGTGACCTTTTCGAGATGCCAATGGGGAGTCACCTTGATTACTTTCAAAGGAAGGAATGATTGACCCATTGCGGGCAACACTCCCTGGTTATGATCACTGACTGTGCAAGTGTACTGGACAAGGAGCTGAGCAGCAATATGTACCATCTCTGTGTTCCCTATTGTGTATGCCATGTAAAGTTCCCAGTTTTACCACCAGCCTGATAGCTGACCACCTGCAAGAGCCTGCCTTCCCTCTCTGACTCCACTCTCTGGGGAATCCACAGACCCTCCTGGCAGACCCAGCTTTCATCAGTCATGTAGGTCCTCTTATACACACAGCCCATTCTAGCCCACTCCTCCTTATCCTTCCTGTCAGCCTCTACTATCTAGAAATACATTCTACCCAGGACCCCCAGTGGCCACACCTGGGAGGGACTCAGGCAACCCACACCAACCACATTGTTTTAGGATCCAGAAAGGGCAACATGAACCAAGGAATATAAAATCCATACAACAAAGACAAGACCAGATTATCAACACCTAGAATTACAATTATCCCTAACCCAGATGTCTAGACATGAGCATAAAAACATAGTTAATAACCACTAGAACTACATGTCTTTACCACAGTCCAGAAACCCTATGACAGTAGGCCCTAAGAAATGTAACATAGCTGAAGCACAAGACAAGAACTTAAAGTAGGTATTATGAAAATGGTCAAAGATCTGAAGAAGGAAATTAATAAATCCACAATGAATTCTATGAAAACAGAAACAAACAGTGAAATGAAAGGAAGAAAACAGCTCAAGACATGAGGGTAGAAATAGAATCATTAAGAAAACCCACACTGAGGGAAATCTGGAAATAAATTTCGAAGCCCAGATAGGAAGTTCAGAGGCACGCCTTACAAATACAAGAGATGGATGAGAGAATCTAAGGTATTGAACATACAAAAGAAAAAATGAAACCCTCAGTCAAAGAAAATGTTAAATCTAAAAAAAAATCTTGGCACAAAACAACCAGGAAATATTCAACATTATGAAAAGACCAAATCTAAGAATAATAGAAATAGACAAGGAAAAGAAACACAAGTCAAAGACACAGAAAATATTTTCAGCAAAATCATAAAAGAAAATTTCCCTAACCTAAAGAAGGAAAAGCCTGTCAAGGTACAAGAAGCATACAAAGCACCAAATAAACTGGACCAGAAAAGAAAGTCCCCTAGACAGATAAGAATCAGAACACCAAACACAAAACAAAGAATATTAAAAGCTGCAAAGGGAAAAGACCAAGAAACATAAAGGCAGACCTATTAGAATTAAACTAGACTTCTCAGTGGAGACTCTAAAGGCTGGAAGGGCCTGGACAGATGTGCTCCAGACTCTAAAAGAAGACAAATGCCAGCCCAGAAACTTTCATTACTATAAAAGAAGAAAACAAGACAGTATCATATTTCAGCCAAATGTAAGCACTATCTAATAGTCCAGCTCAACTATTTTCACTGCTGCTCTAGTCATAGCAGCCAGAAATTGAAAACACCCTAGATGTTCATCAACTAATTAATGAATAAAGAAAATGTGGTATCTTATACAGTGGAATATCAACCAGCTGTTTAAAAAAGTGGAATCATGAATTTGATAGGTAAATGGATGGAGCTAGACAAAAATCATGCTGAGTGAGGCAACCCAAACCCCAAAAGACCAATACGGTATGCATTTTCTTCTATGTGGATGCTAGCTGTTATGTCCTTGATGAAGAAGCTACAATCCCTATAACCACAGGGGTTAAGAATAGAGTTAAGAAGCCAGGTGGGAGGGAAGGGTTTCTCTTGAAAAGAAAACCAGAAAGATAGTTATGGATGGACAGGGGGTGGAGGAGCACTGAAACAGGAGGACCAAACAGGGATAAAGGAGAAGGAAGTAAGGGAGGGACAGAGGGTGGGGCAGCGAAAACACAGGGCTATTTGAGGGGCCTAATGGGGACCCAATACATTTGAAGCTTACTAAAATAAATACATATATTTAAGATATCTAAGTTGGAATCACCTAATTCCAGGGGCGGACAAAGCACCAATTAGACATCTCTCACCAACAAGCTCTCAGAATAGGTTACATTGAATCAAGAAGTTGGCCAAAGGTGCCCTACAGAAACCCCCAAGCAACACAGGATATTGGTTGCACTCTACAAACTGATGGTAAGGCCCAAGTGCTGAAGACCTGCACCTTCGCAACTCAATGAACACAGAGGGGTTGAGCTGGGGCCTACCCAGAGCCTCTGCCCCTACCGAACAGTATTCACGGCATGGGAAGGTACTCTACATACGAGATCAGAAACATAAACACCAACCTGTAGCACAATAAATAAAAGACTCACAGACAGATATTGTGGTTCAAACTTCAAGCTGGAGATCAGAAAAGTAAAGCAGCCAGCCACTAGCTCTCACCTCTACCTCAGCTCAGATCAAAGGGTCCATCTTCAGACTGCTCCCGACCTCACTGCTCCTCAGACTCATTCAGAGTGCTACGTTCTTCTCAAAAACGTGGCTAGAGACACCTGAGACTGAATGCCTTCCTATCCTCAAATGTGGCTGGAGAATGAATGCCAGCTGTGAGACCCGTCCCTATCTTAAATACCTTTCATGAGTCCTGAGATTAAAGGCATGTGATCCCAAGTGCTGAGATCATCTTTGTCTGAGCTGTTTTTCTTTAGGACTGGATCAATTCTGTGTAGTTCAGTGCGGCCTTGAACTAACAGAGATCAGTCTTCCTTTTAATCCTGAGTCCTAGGAGTAAAGGTGTGTACCTGGCTTCTATGGCTTGTGGCTGACTTTGTGTTCTCCGCCTTCAGGCAAGGTTTAATAAATCATAAATAATATATTACCACACCAACCCAGCTATAAAACTTTGGCCTAAAATGGTGACCTTCCTCCAACATAAGCTGGTACAGTAGAGGTGCAAAAGTTGTGGGAGTAACCAACCTCGAAAGCCCACTCCGTGAGATGGAATCCGTGCCCAGCATTGCCTGGGTGGCCAAGAACATTGGACAAGATATGGGAATCAGTCTTGGGGAAAACCAAATACTAATGTTCTGCTAAGAGAGTGCAGCAACAACAAGGCTCCTAACAACACTCTGTAAACACTCATAGAGAAGAATATTGCTCAGCCATCATCAGAGAAGCTTCCTCCCACAAGACGGGAGCAACTACGATGCGGAGCTGGACGTGCCGAGACCTTGGAGCACTCAGTCTCCATCAAACCTCTGGGCTCCCCCCAGGACCCTGGGGACTCTACAGAAGAGAGAGCAGAAAGATCCTATGAGACAGTGAGGACACACATATGAACTCCTAGACTGTGGTGACAGATCTAAGCAGATGGGGTCCCAGTGCTGAGAGGTAAAACAGAAACAATTCCCATCCTACCCCAGAAGCTATATGCAATTGATAATTACCCGCAAAGGACATATTTTCTGCAGTGAAGTCTCACGTATAGAGTATACAGGCCACATATAAGGGAAGTCCCTATGCCCCACAATAAACGGCCATCACGAAACAAAATCAGTGGTATTCTTAAAGGGGTTTTGTCTCACAAAGTGTGGGCATTTTTTTTAACCCTTACAGAGCTTTGGCTTATGTAGTATGGTTTCTGCCTCTCCGTATGCGAATGCGTCTCAGCTTATGCATGATTCGGGTGCTTTTACTTCTGCTCTTTTTTTCTGTTTATTTTGTCCCATTTCAGTTTGTTATCATCATCATCATTTTAGAACCTTGTTTGCATTCTAATGAGAGGGGAAATAAAGGGTATGGCTTTGGGTGAGTGAGGCTCCGGGAGGAGTTGGGGGAAAGTGAAAACTTAATAAAAAAAAAAGTTATGCTTTCAATAAAAATAAAGCCAACTCGGTAGCAATGCTGAAACACAATTAACCCTGAACACCCTGCTCTTAAAAAAAAACAAAAAAATTCAACAACCGCGCACACCGTCGACAGGGTTAGCTTTTGCTATCAATAACATCAGCCGTTGTAGACGATGCTCTGGGAGCACTCGCTCTGCAGCTGGGCTGCCCGGGGACAAACTCCGTCTCTCGGCTTCCAAGCCTTCGTGTGAAACGAAAACAGACGGGGACACTGGGACCCCCACGGCTGCGGGGGCGGCGGCACTTCAGCCTTGGAAGCACAGCAGCTACGCACACACGCAGGGCTCTGCAAACACCACCGGCATTCACAGGACGCTTCGGGTCAGGCGGCGGCGGACTGTCGCCAGCCGAGGGTCCCGGCTGAAAGCTCCAGGCTTTGTTGTCGTCCCTTCCCCCCCGCCGCAGCCGGCGCATCCACTCCCGGGAGTCTCCGGAGTCGGAAGAAAAAGCAGCCGGACCAGAGACGCAGCCCTGGGGACAGCACAGACGCCCGCGGCCGGAAAGGGCCCCAAAGTGGGCGGGGCCGCGGGGTGGTGGTGGCGGCGCGCGAGGCCCCGGCCTGGGAAGAGGTGCTGTCCGTAGCGTGCCTGCCGCGGGTGTCCGAGACAGCCGCTTCCGCTCGCCCTTTCCAGGCCCGCAGCCTCGCAGCCCCTTACCCTCCGCGGCCGGGTACGTTGTGTGCTGCCGCTGCGCTGTCCCCGTACTTTTGCTGGGGTCCGGAGAGGGAGCGCTCCGGTCAGGCACGTGCCGGGCACCAGCAGAAGGCCGCGGCCTCGGGGGCGGGGTCCTTCGCTCGCGCCGAAATTCAAAGGCACGGTTCCGGCGCGGTGGTTGGGCTGCGGCGGGCGGGCGGGCTGGCTGGCGGACGGCGGGCCCGGGATGCTGCTGGCGCTCGCCCGCTAGCACCCGATACAGGTCGGGTGACTCGCTCTCCGCCCCCGCGTTGGCTCCCAGGCCCGGGCGGCTGTGTGGCGGGTGCGTAGGGTGGCCCTCGGCCCGGCGTCCGGGCGGGAGACGGGGCGAGTGAGGGTCCGGCTCCAGGGGGGGACCTAGGCGGTCATCAGAGCTGCTGACTCCGTAAGGAGGATCGAGAAACAACCCCGGGGAGCGACAGGACACGGGGATCGGAGTTTTAGAAAAGAAGCCGTGTCGTCCTCTAGGTCCCGAGAGCCTGGGGTTCAGAGAGTCAGAGCCGGGAGCGTAGCGGTGTCATCATTTGCGTGTTTGCGTGTGTGTGTGTGTGTGTGTGTGTTTACGTAGGGAGGGCCACAGACTCACCTAAGGTGACACGGATGCAAACACGTCTGCGGTCGGTAAAAGGGGTGTGCATTCTAGTACCAGAAAAGCACACTTGTGGCAGGGAGAGCGGAGTGTGAAAGAATCAGCAGTCTTTATCAACTACACTACCATTAGAGTTCGACATAAGCCCGGCAAAGTGGGCAGCAGGGGTCCAGCTGGTGACTAACAGGTTGCATGGTTTAACTTTCAGGCAGATGCTAACGGGAAGGTCTTTTTGAAAATGAAAGTAGTTTGGCAAGTGTATTTTTCCGGTGGTCTACGTTCTTTTATGTATCCTGTCATACTTACTGTGATTTGGGTGTTTTTTTTTCATATCTACTTATGTGATGTTATTACTGTTTTATACAGGTCTGGCTTGTAGCTTGTTGCCCAACAGAGGCCTACTAGCCCAAGACAACCTAGAAAAATGTATGTTAAATCAATCATTCTCGAAGGATTCAAGTCCTATGCACAAAGGACTGAAGTCAATGGTTTTGACCCCCTCTTCAATGCTATTACTGGTTTAAATGGCAGTGGAAAATCCAATATATTGGACTCCATCTGCTTTCTCCTGGGCATCTCCAACCTGTCTCAGGTAAAGTGTAAATTTTCTGACTTGTGCAAAGTTTGGCTAGGGCATCTTTTTTAATCTTTGGTGCCTGTTGAATTTCCTTCATTTGCATGTTTGTACTTCATGTAAAATTTGTTATATTACAGTGCAACCATTTAAGCAAATCCTATTATTCCATTCTGTAGTTGAAAAGATAGAAACTGTGAAGTCTGGCCTCAGTTTCCTTCTTTTAAGCTGTTGGAAGTAATGCCCACACCAGCACCGTTACTTCAGTGTGGTCTCACTTCAGAGTCTACCGCTCTAATGCCTTACGGTGCCCTTGTAGGGTGTACTGGGAGATGGGCACTATCCTTGAGTTTTGCTAAGTCGTTAAATTCGGAATAGAGTCGGTTGTGATAACACACGCCTTTGATCCCAGCATTTGGAGGCAGAGGCAGGTTGAGCTCTGATTTTGAGACCAGCGTGGTCTACAAATTGAGTTCTAGGGCAGCTAGGGCTGTTACACAGAGAAACCTGTCTCGAAAAAAAAAAAATCCAGAATAGAATGAAAGTTTTGTTGAAAAGGGTACTTATAGGTTATTGTCTGAAGTCCTTGTTTTCCTTCCTGATGGACGCGACTGCCTGCTTTTTACTTAATAAAGTACACAGTGGGGGTTTTCCAAAGCAAGGCATGTGTTTTTAATGTTGCTTTTATACAATAAGAAGTTTTGTCAGTGACCTTTCCTTCTTCAATTACAGGTGCGGGCTTCTAATTTACAAGATCTAGTCTATAAAAATGGGCAGGCTGGCATTACCAAAGCCTCCGTTTCAATCACTTTTGATAATTCTGACAAAAAGCAAAGTCCTTTAGGATTTGAAGCTCATGATGAAATCACAGTAACAAGACAGGTGAGTGGCTGTCAAATATTTGGATACCTTGTATTATGTGACACTATTTCTGGGGAGGTCTACACACCTCAGGTTGGGAACCAACAGTAGACCAAAGAGTGTATACCACCAAGGTTCAACTTGGTGGACCAGTGAACTGTACTAGAGTTACTCACAGGAGTTTGGGTAAGGAATTACTGCTTACAGGACTAGAAGTTCTCAGACACAGCTGTGTCATCCACTATGGGTGGCAGATAAAGCTAGGAGGCTGTGCAGAGTATTTTCCAGGTACCTCATTGGTCTAAACCTCTTCCAGACAGCTTGCGTGGTCTCAGTCCCCTTTGCAACTTTTTCTCCTCTCAGAGTCGTCTTTGCTACTCAGCTTCCTTCCCTCTGAGAGGGACTCAGCTTTTGTTGCTTACTCTCACGGGGAGGGGCCTAGTGAATCTGGTTAGTTTCAAGAAGCTCCTGAATCTGTTATAAGCTGTTTATGTTCCTGTTTGAAGAGCCTCCCTGCAGGAAGCAGCATTTCAGTCAGCCTTGGAGGAAACTTCTATAACATTGCCCCAGCACCATGATAGATTAGAACAGTGGTTCTCAACCCAGGGGTCAAAGGACCCTTTCACAGGGGTCACCTAAAAACATTGGAAAACATAGATATTTACATTACGATTCATAACAGTATCGAATTTACAGTTATGAAGTAGCAATGGAAATTAACTGTATGGCTGGGGTCACCACTCCATGAGGAGCTGTATTAAAGGGTCACAGCAGTAGGAAGGTTGAGAACCACTGCCCTGGAGAGTTTCTCTTCAAGGCACCTCAGCTATGAGAGCATCCTGCAGACCCTTGCTGGTTGGCACCACTTCAGGCAAGAGTGTCTCTCAGCAGTACTTCTTTAGTAAGATGGATGGGACGTAGGGGTGGGCCATGAGTCTGGTCATTTCCAGGGGTTTCCTGAAGGTTTGAAGTCATTTGTGTCCTGAGTTTTGAGGAGCTTCCCCGCAAGATGGAGTGTTCCATTTAGAAAGAACATCCTG